GCTGGTATCGGAAATCAGATCGGTATTGGCCAATATGCCTCCTTAAAAAAAATCAGTATTGTCCCCAAAAATCTCTATTGGTGAACCCCTAGTAGACACATTCTCACTGTGGGTGACTACAACACAATACCCACACATACCTAGAGGGTCCCTTAAGGGACCCCTCAGAGGCCCTTAGGGCATGGGTGACCAACTCCTGGCCCACGAACCAGATCTAGCCTATGGGGCTTTCCCACTGGTCCAAATGGGGGAGCAGTGCCACTGCTTCCCTGCTGCCAATTTCTGGACCTATAGGGAGCCCAAAGCCCCATGTGCCAATCCTACAACGTAGGGCCATTCAAGGGTGCTGCTGGGTCCCAGGGCCACACCCTGGTGTGGGGGATTGGGAGGTGCCTGTGCTTGGCCCCATTACCAGTGCACAGTGGGCAAAAGAGGGTGGTGCCGGGCCCCCATGGCCCAATCCTGGCACATGGGAATGGGAAAGAGCAGTGGTGGTCCCCAGGGCCCAATCTGGCCCACACACCAGCTTTGTGCTACTCACCTGGTCCTCAGGGCCAAAAGGCTATGCATCACCACCCTAGGCAAACAGTGAATGAGGGATAACCCTGCCAAATTCAGCATCTGCTTTAGGGCCTTCACAAGAGGACCATCAGCTGAGCTGTGTTCTGCCAGACCTGGAGGATTACTTGAGGGATCAGAAGTGTGAGCAGGAAGACATACAGAACTCCTGACCAAGAGACTATTGAAAATGCATCTGACAAAACCAAGACTGAGGACCCCACTAAAACAGAAATGATGCAACTTCCTGTTGACTTCCTGTACAGAGTAGAGTTACCTCTCAATCCTAACATGGGAACTGCAAATATATAAGTCAGCATACCACATGTGCCAATTACTGGTCCAAGAACTCCCTTTCCTAACATGCCATCCCTTCCATAAACTTGTCAAGCTCTATTTTGAAGAATTTACGTTCTTTGCTCCTTCTACTTGCAAGCAATACTGGCTCCAGATGGGATTGAGGCTATACAGCATAGAAACTGCTGCAATATGAAATTCAACGCGAGCCTCAGTCACTGAGCAGAGTAGGACATCACTAATTGTGTGCTGACCTGTAGGGTCTCCTCTTTCTTGGCTACATGGAAGTCACCAGCCAGATCCATGACGTTAAGTGAGCAGAAGTGCCAGTTAACAGTCTTTGGTGGGAGTGCAGTCATTTGCAAGAGCCAGCACACCAGCACAACCTTCTGGCACATGAGCTGGAAAACCATGCACCAAGTGACCCAATTCTCTGGTGAGAGAAGCACACTCAGAAATGGAGCCGCTGGTGCAGGAATGGGGTCCATTAGCTTATGTGCAAGGGGGGTGTGGATCCATTGTGGGCTACTGGAATAGGAACAGATATGCTTGCTACTGGGGAAAGAAAATCAGAACAGACATGCTCTGGGTCTCCTTTCTCAAAGCCTCACAGCAGGGAGAGAGGGAGGGGCAACAGCATGGTCCCGTGGGGCAGCCAGTCAAAAACAATGCTCAGCTACTTTCAGCACTCTTTGGCAGCCAGGGAAGCCTGCAAACCATGCTGGGATGCACAGGGAACCTAATGGCTGTATGCCATCGGCAGTGCATGCTATCTGTGCAGTGCCCACAGGGTCCCTGGACCACCTTTACACCCCTATTCTGGTACGTATTTCTACTAGGAGAAAAAAACAAAACAAAACATGATAATTTCCAGTGTTATTGAACATCTGTACATAGCAACCCAGAACTGAAAAGAACTGAGAACATTCAGCCCTATTGATAAGTTATGAAGAAATACTCCCACTGGACAATGTTAAGTCAATCAGAGGAACTACTTTTGTTAAAAGTAGACGGGGAGCTCCACATTCATTTCTTTCTAGCTGCGAATCAAAGTTCACTAAAAAAAAATTCTCAAAAATGAAAACAACAGTCACGTTCCCAAGACAGTTTCCACAGCAGACTTTTATCTGTAGAAAGATGAAGTGTTATCTTTACATCAGAAACAAGCATAGATCATCTTCAGTGCAGCTACTTTTTCATATCTTTAAGATAAACTCTTCCAAATCTAGCGCCCAAGAAAAAAACAAAGTCTAGCTAAAACATGGAAATAGCACATTTATTGGAGACTGCCTTTTATTTACCAACGAGACATCCAAAATTCTCCTAAACTCTCTCGTATGTTTCCAAAGACAATGAATCTCTTATTAAGGAAAAGCAAAAAAAAAAGAGAAGGCTAGAAAATAGTACCAGAAGCAAAGAAATAAGAAAAGTTGTACTCAGGATGTTTAATCCTTAAAATCCTTTCCTGAAAACAAACAGGGGCTGTTCACTTGACCAGAGGCCAAAGGAACATGGGGAAAACAGACTACATGAAATCAGTCCTGAACAAGTGAGGGATCTCCTACAACACTTGGATGTTTTCAAGTCTGCTGGGCCTGACGACCTGCACCCGGGAGTCCTGAAAGAACTGGTTGAGCTTATAGCAACACCATTGGCCAAGTTGTTTGAAGAGTCATGGAACTCAGGAGTGGTCCAAGATGACTGGAAGAGGGCCAATGTGGTGCCCATCTTTAAGAAAAGGAAGAGGGATGACCCTACAAACTACAGACCGGTCAGCCTGACCTTGGTTCTGGGTAACATCTTTGAAAAATTTGTTAAGGAATCCATCAATTACACGCTGGTAATATTAAGAGGCAACAAGCACAGCTTTGTTAAGGGGAGATCATGCCTGACAAACCTCGTGTCATTCTATGACTAGGTAACTAGCCATCTGGATGAGGGACATGAGGTTGATGTGATTTACTTAGACTTCAGTAAAGCCTTTGATTCGGTTTCCCATGGGATTCTCAAGGAAACTGGAGGGTACTTGGCTGAACCAATCTACAGTGAGGTGGGTAGACAACAGGCTCAGAGGCCAATCCCAGAGGGTGGTAACTAACGGGATGGCCTCATTCTGGAGGGCTGTCTCCAGTAGTGTCCCCCAGGGATCGGTGCTCAGACTTGTACTCTTTAATAGATTTATTAATTACCTGAATGATGATTAAGTTTGCGGATGATACCAAACTGTGGGGGAAATGCAGGCACATCAGAGGATAGGATGAAGATCTAAGATCACCTTAACCAACTGGATTCATGGGCGGAATGGAATCAGATGAGGTTTAATAGGGAGAAGTGCAAAGTCCTTCATCTGGGTAGGAAGAACCCTCACCGTAAATACACGATGGGTGCTGGTCCTCTGGCGGGCATATCATCTGAACAAGACCTGGGGGTCATGATCTACTGGAAGATGAATGAGCCAACAGTGCAATGAGGTTGCCAGAAAGGCAAAGAGAACTCTGGCATGCATCAGCTGATGTGTGGCCAGTAGATCCAGGGAGGTATTCCTCCTTCTCTATTCAGCACTGGGGTACAAAGAAGGGCCACCCGTATGGGTCAAGGGCATGGAGAACAGGCCCTATTGGGAAAGACTCCGGGAACTTGGCCTGTTCAGTCTGAATAAGAGTAGACCGAGAGGTGACTTGATAGCTGCCTACAAGTACATCAGGGGTGAACATCAAGATTTAAGGGAGCAACTCTTCAGGAAGGCACCTCAAGGGAGGACGAGGACCAACGGGCATAAGCTAATACAGGGTAAATTCAGGCTAGATATAAGGAAGAACTTTTTCTCTGTAAGGGTCACCAGAATATGGGCCACAGTCCAAGCAGAGATGGTGCAGTCACCCTCCCTGGAGGTGTTCAAGATGAGCTGGACCTTGTCAAGCTTGTCTGAACCCCATAACTTCCTGCCCATGGGAGGGGACCAGACTATGCATCTGAAACACCTTCTTATATGATTTTTATATCTTGTCTTACAAAACACTATTTAGTTAGTTAAAGGCAAGATAATGCTTTTAAGAACACATGCTTGTTTTGCAGTAGCCTGTGTTTTTTTTGCAATAAGACTTTTCTATCAGAGGCCTGTTTAATGCTCTTTTGTCCACCAATGTCCTTCTCAAAGTTTCATTCTTACGGCTTACGGATTAATGCTCATCACGTGTGTACCTAAGAAAGCAAGAAAAGGCTGAGCCAATGAAGGCAAGGTAACTGCATTCAATTGACCTAGCAGCTAAAGAAAACAAAAGACTAAATATGCATCTCAAGAGAAACCTGTAAAAGGTGCACTGAATACTGGAGAGATATCTTGTATGTGACATCCTAACATTTCCCAAAACAGGTTTGGTGACACCTCTAAAAGATCCTGTTGGACCACTCAAACTCATTACCTATAAACTGACCTATAATTGCAGGGGCTGTGGAAAAAAAACAGTCTTCACACCTACAGAAGTCCAAAACAGGATCCAAGCAATTGACAGATGTGTTATGATGATCAATCTTTTCCTCCTTATTTGTTTGGACTCTAGTTGGCCAACCATCAAGGAAAAATGCTTTAAATCTATACAATTAAACAGTATAAAAACTAAGCAAATTTGCCAGCAAGGTGTGTGCAGTCCAAGAAGCCATTCTACCACTCAGCCAACAAATGAAGGATCCACGCTTTGACACTGTACAAAAACTGTTTCCTGCCTGCACTGGGTAAAATCTCTGTGCAGCTAAGATAATACTAAGGACTAATAGCTCATTTCATGTTGGGAGAGTCTTTTCTGTCATTGAGTTTTGTAGCTTGTTAGTTATTAAAGCAAGCCTTTCTGCTATTCATCAACTCAGTGTTGTATCAATTCATAAAGCACTAGGTTAAAAATTCAGTTTCTAAGTGCAACAACCACTTCTGCCCCTGCAGGCAGCAGTTTATATATTTTTAATGGATCAATCATTAAAAACTAGAATTATGTTACTACTGTTGCATTTTTTTTCCTACTTTTTTTTTTTCAACTAAATGCATAGATTTTATGGGAATTAATGTGATCTTTTGTGAGCGGGTGGGGGGAACCCTTTATTTCATGCTGTTAAAACAAATTCAAATGTTTTCTTACAGAGTGTTCAGTCACCTGAGGGTTGTGATGAATGTTCTTCATTACTTGACTCATATCCTGTGATTGCCATAGCAATTGCAGAAGCAGCAATGGAAATCATTTGACCAGGAAGTTCTGTCCCTGTGGAAACAAATGCACACAAGCATATTGTAGCCTAGAAAATAATTGCTAGCCTTTAGATAAACCTGAAATTGGATAACTGTTTGGGCAACTTCTAGGAGAATCATATCAGAGGATAAAAAAAAAAAAAAAAAAATCAGTATTCAGAGGCTTCAGAATGCTAAAATTCTTAACCACCACATGCTAACCAGATTAAGTTTCTTTATGGCTGACTAAGTAGTGTAACAAAAATCTGATCAATCAGAAGGAGCTTTCTTTATCCAAAAATAAGGAATTAGCATACAGATGGTATATAAGAGAATTAAGTTCCGTCTGAAGCAACAGATTTATATATTATTCTCAGAATCTATATGCATGAATCCTAAGGAGAAAACATTAAAATAAGTTATGCTAAGCACTTTTAATTAAGGATTAAAAACAAACAAAAAAACCAACCACCAAAAACTTGAGTGGCTAAATTTCAGTCTCCTCTGCAAATCATTACAGGAGCAAATAAAAAGTTTAACTGTGCATTTCCATGTTTTCAAATGTGTGGTGTTTTAAAGTTCACTCCCAGACCTAAATTTCCTGCTTCAGTCCTAACTCTGAGCACCCTGCTTTCCCCTATGCCCCAAATCAATTGAAGGTTTCCCAGAACTCTGAAACCTTAAATTATTGATATGTACTCACACTTTGACTTGTGCTTGAGCTATTAAGGTAGCTTCTTAGGTTCTTAAAATTATTTTAAATATTTATGTTTTCTTTCATTCCCTGGGAAACCTTTTTGAGGAAAGGCAGAAAGAGGTCTAAGAGATTTCTTTACCCTCTGAGATCTGCTGAATATTTCCAAGGAACCAGTTGATTTTTCAGAGCTCTCTACATGGAATGAAGGAACCACGAAATGAGGAGGAAATGAAATGGCTCTTCAAATCTTCTAAATCCTGTTTCCCCTCCAGATTGTTTCCCCATCATTAGAAGGGGGGGGGACAAGAGGAGGGTCCCCCTCCATTTCCATTCTACCTTTCCTCCCAAGCCCAAGTTCATCTTTTCTACAAGTGTTTGTAAAAGTGACTACATGTGATCTTTGATTGTGGAGGCAATCAAATTTAAAATCACAAACATAGTGGCAAACATGAATGGTGCTCCCTAGCTTCAGTATAAATGATTTAGACTTCGAAATAATTTCATCCCAAAAATGCTCTTACACCCAAATCTGTCTAATTGCCAATGCCAGTGGAAAGTATGGAGGAGACCTGAAAATAATGAATATTTTGCCATAGAAATGTAGTTTGCCTGAGGGGAAAAAAAGAAGGTGGTACTTGACTTGTTAGGAAACAACTTTAAGTATGTGTTGCTCAAATTCTCAGAAAGTATTATCTATATTTTCTTCTTTAAACAATTCAGGAACTTGTCTATATGGACAACTTGCTGTGAAGTAAGTCTGGGTATGAATTTACAGTGTGGATTACCTATTACTAAGTATTTACTGGGTGCTAAAGAGTCTCCACACAAGAAGTTAACCGATTAGCTAAACTATGCTGTAAAAATCACGCTCCAATTTACTTCACAGTACCTTCTTCATGCAGACAAGTCAGTCATCAAGCATGTGGTCACACCAACAAAAAAAAGAAGGGAAGAGACTGAAATCTTATTGTACATTAAATGTATAGACTCTGACTTAACTATGAAGTTATTACAGAAACACACTGGTCTACTATTAGTATTTGAACTCACTAATATGTTAAATAGAAACAAAGATGTTGTTTTAGTAGGTATAATCTATTACAAATCTCATTTTTAACATTAGGGGAAAAAACACTCAAGTTTCTCTCCAACAGAGTACATTTATATAAACTGTATGGTATTAACCTCATAGGTAATCTAAACTATTTTAAGTTTTCCATCCTCCACTTTTCACAAATTTACTTTGGATAATAGCAGAAAAGCAATTTATTTCTTACCAGAAGACTCCTTTCCAGTCTGTTGCTCATTCAACATGCCAACAGTCATCAGAAAAACTATTACCAGAAATACTGGAATTCGCCAAGAACCAGCCACTGAAGCTAAAAAAACATAAAAGATTTTTTAGCAAAGTTTTCCAGAATATTAACTTGACACATTTAACAAAATTATTAACATAAAATGGGCCACACTGAGGGCAATGGCTATTGCTTGAATTCATCTACATACAAGTATCAGTGTCTAATAGAAACGTACAAATTTTATCTATTCCTCCTACTCCTACAAAAGCTTAATCATATTAAGTTTCTCAGTACTGACTAATTGTTTTTCCACACATTTTTCTCAATAAATTTGATTTACCTTCTATGCAGGGGTCAAGAACCTATAGCCCATGGGGCAGATCTGGCCCACGAAGAGACTGGATCTGATTTCTGGCAGTTCAGAGAACAGGCTGCAGCCAGGACAGCAGAACTGTTCCCAGCATCCTACCACCTGCCTCGTTCTGTCTATTCCAGGAGTAGGCACAGGTGCCAGAGCATGGCACACAAAGACATTTTGCTTGGCGCACAACCTCAGGGTGGACAACAGGGAAGGGGCTGTGGCTGCGCTGCCACAGTAAGAATTGGGCCCCTCACAACTCCCCTGCTGTCCACCCGTGGCACACCAACATCTTGCAAGTCGAGGTTGTGGGTGTTTTTGGCACTTTGCAAAAAAAATGTTGCCAACCCCTGTTCTATTCCTTCCATAGCATCTGCAGATCACTGGAGGTTATGGAGATCTGCAGCCAGCGGTGCTGGCTGGGTCACAAAAGTTTGCTAACCCCCTGCTGTTGGAAAATATATATATGGTGAGCAGATTTAAAAACCATAGTTTATAAAAGAAAAAATACCATGAAATAGTCTCACAGGGCTCCTTGCCCTAACTTCTAAAGAAAATAAAGTAAAAATAAATAAAATAAAGTAGTAAAATGTAATAACTAGCTCAGTTCAAGGTAAGAGCTTATCATCATTATTTTGCAATGACAAGGAACCCAGCTATGCTATTAGAAGTGAGAAACATAGCACTTCTCTCTTTGTAAGCTTACATTTTACTATTATTTTAAAATACGATAATTTGTGAAGAGTAGGGAATACTTCCTCACTTCCTTGAGGGAATGCATCCTCTGTAAGTTCAGAATGGCTCTACAAAGAATTTTCTTTTCATTTTGGTTGTACTGGATGTCTTTTAAACGTTTAATCTTCAATACTGAGCTTCTCTTTGGGAATTAAAAAAAAAAGAACTACAAGTGAAGGACCATATTCTCTCCCATACCCAGTCTCTACAGGAAAAGAAAAAGGAACCAGTCAGGGAACCAGTAAGTTCTTCATTTTTGAGGACAAGCCAACACCAAGCGCTAGGAAACAGAGTAGCTTTTTACTTGCTCACCCTTGTATCAATGGAAGACAGACGGAGCTTCACCATTCCCCTTCCCTCTCCATGACTGGCACTATGGGTGTATAGAAGCCAAGTCCTGTCAGCTTTACAGCACCAAGGAGTTCTCTGGCAGCCATTTGCAGCCACAACTCTGATCCCTAGAGTCACTGTGCAGTGCAAAAGGGTGGGATCTTAGTGGGGAATCCATACCCCCCACCCCACTCCACCAAATTCTTTTTTCAAGTTCTTCTTTTCTGACTATTGCAGATTTCTCTCTTCAAAAGTAAGCGTAATTATATGTCACCCACCTAAGTGGAAAAGCAATATTATCCAGACAGGAACAGAGATTGCTCTCAGGTAACGCTCAGTACTTGCATTCCACTTGAATGAAACAGTCAACAGATAACCAGCTACCAAGGTCCATATCTTTAAGAGAAAGAGATACATATATATGGGCTTAGTTATCTACTACACATAAATTAATATATACAGGCACAATTTTCTCTCTTTTATAATGTGTATTAAGGTCTCTTTTATAATGTGTTTTACATCTGAAATTTGTCAATGAAAGGCATTAACTTTGTTTTTAAAAAACATAATTAATTACAATATTTTAACATCTTAAATTTCTTTTCTTACACACGAACAAATATAAAATTGCCCAATATAGATATAGCCATTTCAAGCCTTAGGTACAAAGTCTGATGCATTTAAAATGTTTTATACTCTGAAGTAGTTCTCTAGCACTCAAAGAATTATTCCCCTTTCATTTTTTATATCCTCTGTCCCTTTACCAAAAAAATCACAAGTGGTTACCATTATTTGATACTGGTGCACAGGTGGACAAGGAGCAGCCTAATTTACTTCTAGTTCATACACAGCAATATGTTTTCCCAAAAGACAGTGGTCTAAATCAATGGGAAATGATTAGTTATTGGATGAATTCCTGAACTGAAAGTCAAACACAGGCCATCGGTAGAAAATTTCTCACGTGTTAAAATGGCAATGCGTACACTGCGGCAACCAAGACAAATGACGCTTCAACTTGTCACCCAAGGTTTTTTGAAGAATATTTTGAAGTGTTTTTATTGTATGCACAGGGTAGGTCTTTACCCTACCAACACAACAGCTGCAACTACGTAGTTGGTTTTTTTTTGCCCCAAAGCAAAACTGTCACAATTCACCTAGGGAGGTGCATCAGTTGTCGCCATTTGCTTTACAGACTGCTCGTCTAACTTTTGAGGCAGTTATGACAGTGTCACTGCATTAAGTGGAACATACACACTAAAAAGCAAACAAAGAAACAAAAAGATCAAAAAGAACCAGACAAGACAAACAGTGTGAACAGGCTCATATGCCTCAAACAGCAACCTGGAACGGGTCATGAAGGATAGAGACATGAAGGTCCAGAGGGAAAAAAAACCAGAAAAATTCAGGGAAAAAAAGCTGTTTTCTTCCATTTTTCCCCCCCCAAGGACTTTATTTTTTCCCCCAAAAAATTGTAGTTTTGGAAAAATTCAAAAAACCTATGAAATATTTTTAGAATGATGAATAAAATATTCAAGACAAGGTGTTCATATACTGTTACCCTTTACTCCCCAAAAATGTTTTTTAATAACTATGTAAAAGGAAAACTTTTATGTAAGACTGTCTATAGTATCAGATCATTACAATTCCTGCACACAGAGAACAAGCAGTACAGTACAACTCTCAAATGCAAGAACAAGATGCATTTCTGCCCCCAGAGGGCACTGCCATTTTCACAAGAGAAGTAAGAAGAATTCAGTGCCTTCTTTGCTTGTGGACTTCCTCTATTGTTGAATTTTGATCTAGAGGTTGGAGGATCTGCTCCTGTCCTCCTGACTAGGCCTCAAAGGCCTGGGAGTGGACACTGGCAGCAGCATCTATTCGTTCCTGTAGAGCTTAGAAACAAAGAACATATTGCCCTGCTTGCTCAGAAGTCCCAGGAGAGGAGACAGAGCAAGTCTAAAGTTTTGGAGTTGGAAGGAACCTGCCTCCTGTGGATCTCTAGATCACAGGGCCAGGAGGAAGAAGTACAGAAGCAGCACAAAGGAGCTGAAAGAAAGTCTACTTCTTTATTGAAAGGTAAGAGTTTAAATTTCTCTGAATTCAGTATATGAAACTATATCTTAGCTGCACTCATATATTTTCATAACCTATGTAATTCAGAATTGAATTCCTGCTAATCTGATGTTTTGTGACAAATCACCCAACCTTAGCAGTGAGGTGATGCCTGCAGGGCAGGGAAGTTGTTCACAGTTAACTCTGGGGAAGCCTCTTCTCCATCCATTACTAATTTTGTACATGCTGTAGTTTAGTGTTTATATATGCAAGCTAGCCACTAAGTTACATTTTTCTTTTTTATCCTTCAGCAAAACGGTGCCATCAACTTCTAGCATATGGAAGCATTTCCATGCTGCACGTTATTCTGAGGGAAACAAGTATGATTTGCAAATACTGTCAAATGAAATATATATTTCCAAATGCTACTAGGATGACCAAACACATCCTTGTATGTAAGACATGTCCTGCAGACGTTTAAAAACCCTTCATGGGTGTAAGCGAGGAGGAGATGGATCATGATGTTGAAAGAGCAAGTAGCTCTTTCCAACATTCTCGATTCAGAAGTCCTCCAACTGCTGCTGGTTCGTCTTCTTCAACATCAGCATCACAAGGGGTTGCCCCATCAACATCCTCAAGTAACCAATATTGCAATCAGCTAATTACAAAAAAGACTCTTAATAGATTCATTTGTAGACAAGATGACACCTGAAGTTCAAGAAAACAATGACCAAGCTCTTGCAACAGCAATATATTCTTCTGGGACGCCATTGTCAAAAACTGAAAATGCATACTGGCAGGAAGCTTTTAAGACCATCATACCATTCGCCTAGCAGACATTCTTTGACCAAGCCTCTTTTAGAGTCAGAATATGAAAGTGTAATGCAATCTGTGCAAGGAAAAATCAACGAAGGACCGTGTCTTGCAGTACTTACAGATGGATGGACAAATGTGCAGGGAGAAGGAATCAAAATTTGGGATAACAACACCTCAACCAGTTTTTTTTGTTTTTTTGTTTGTTTGTTTGGGTTTTTTTTTTGTTTTTTTTTTTTTTTTTTACAGAAGCATTGGAACAGGAGAGAACAGGCATCACTGCATCTGAATCAGACAATGTACTTTTGTCAGACATTCCTTACCAAATGGCCCAGATAAAAATCACCTGTTTTTGAGAATCTAAGTGTATCTCCGCTTATGAGTACAGAAGGAAGAAAAGTGAAAGACTTTATCAACAGGAGTGCTCCCTTTCAGAAAGGGAAAGTGATGCTCCTGGAAATAAAGGACTAGTAAGTCCCAAGTTCGTGAGAAGCCCAATGCTAGATATATAACCCTCTTCTAGGGTCAGGGGAAAGAGGAAGAATGAATTCCTAAAGTTGCAGACATACGTAATGCTGGATCCGTTCTTTTTAGGCATTGCAGTGTCAGCAACTTGTACGGTGGTACCCTGACTGGAGGTGCCCAGGTGTGTGTGGGGGGTGCTGCCTAGACCACTGCTTCTGGGTTCCTAGGAGCTGGGTGTTCTGGGGCTGTCAGAGTTTTTGTGGCTTTTCTAAGATTATTCAATTTACTTCAATTCCTGGCAATATATCAGGCTGATTTGGGGGTGAAATGATAGATAGTTAGTTAGGGAGGGGTGGAGGCGGGGCACCTGGACCTTTGCTTTTTCACTTTCCAGGGGGCTGCTCAAGGTCTCTGGCTCAAACTACTGCCTTAAAATGACTTTCCCTAGGGGTAGCCAGGTGGGAGAGGGCCCTAGACCCTGTTTCTGGGTTCCCAAGTATCTGAATATTCTGGAGGCTATACAAAGTCTCCGCCACTTAAAACGGCATTTCCTCCCATGCCATCAATTCCATTCTATTTGTAGCAACTGATCTGGTTTTGAAGCATTCCACGGGTGCAGAGGAAACCCTGTTTCTGGGTTTCTGGGGTGCTGCATGCTTTGGAGGGCTGCCCAAGGTCTCTATGTCAACTGCTGGGAATGGAATGAAATAGACTAGTGGCTTGAGGAAAGATGCTGTTTAAAAGCTGCAGAGACCTTGGACAGCCCCCAGGAATGCACAACCAGGGGTGCCCCTCTACCCACCCCTCAGCCCAAATCAATTTAGGAGGCCCTGAAGCTTGATCAACTGCCAACAATGAAATAAAACTGACACATGACTTGGGAGAAAGTTGTTTAAAAGCCGCAGAGACACTGGGAAGCCCTCTAGAGCACTCAGCTACCTGGGAACCGAAAAAGGATTACCCCTCTACACAACTAACCACCCTCCCCCCAACCCAAATCAGCCTGGAACAGCACAGAATGGGTCAAGTACAGGCAATATAGGTTGGGGGGGGGAAAAAAAAAAAAGAGTTCAGGTTGTGTACTAAGGTAGCCAGCTGCTGTGCAGGGTTTGGGGGTGGGGGTGACGAGTGATGTAGTGTGGGATGCTTGATGGACTGACCAGACACTAGTCATGGAAATCTTGGTGTCTGCATGTAACACTAAACTGGATCACCGAGAACTTTTTCAAAGTAACACCCAATTATCCAAGTATACTTTTGTAATGTTCCAGGGTGTTTAAATCATTCTAAACAAACATGCACCTCCAGACACTTGCAGTTTAAATACCACTTAAAATGAATTAAGTGTTATAGATTCATAGATGCTAGGGTCAGAAGGGACCTCAAAGGATAAGTGAGTCCAACCTCCTGCCAGTGGCAGGAAAAAAAGTGCTGGGGTCATGTGATGTCCATCCCCCAAGGGTCACAAGTAACAAGAAGGCTACCACATGAGAGACTTGGCTATGGGCAGTACCACAGACACTGGCAAAGCCCTTTGACAAATGGACAGAGCTAGCTTATTTCTGCCCTTGTGAGTTAAGTAAACTAATCTGACATAGTAAATACTACTTAGTAGTGCAGGGCTTTTTCAAATCTTCCGTTTAAATATGCCCACTGCAGCTCTGCTTCTCAGATAAATGGAACAGAAAATGATAATTATCAAGCTTTGAAGCTCTAACACTATCTAAAACATGGGCAAGGTGGAAAATGGAAAACATGAGAGGGAAGGGAAGATTAAAAGCAGTCAGATGAAAAAAGAAGAAATCTGAACAGAGGGAAGAAGTCATCAGATGGAAAGAAAGACAACTAAAATAATTTTAAAATGTAAATTCTGACAATAAAAGCAATTCATTCCTTATTTGTAATCTTTGCCCTTTCCAGGTACTCAATTCCATGCAGTAACACAATAATTCAATGCCTATATTTATTATGTTGTAAGTATTAACTCCAAATTTGCTGACATTAAGTTTTTCAAAACAAAAATTTAAGATGTGGACCAATGGTGTCCCTTTAATGCAGGCTAAGCT